AAATTAAAAAGCTAGAGAAAAAGTAAGTAATAAAAAGTAATTATTTAAGAAGTTATAGCTATAATAGCTAAAAAAAAAGTATAGTAAAAAGTTTCTAGAGAAGTTAATATACTATATAAAAAGATAGAGAAAAAAGTATAACCTATTAATATGCTAAGGTAGAACTAGCTAATAGATCTTAGACGCGAGAATTAGAAGTAGAAGGCGATTAAGCGCTAAGTAGTAAGAATTACCCTTTATAGACTAGATATTAGGCCTTTTAATTATATACTTAAGAGTAAAACTATACTCTTTTTAAGAAGAGCTTAATTAACTATAGTAAGGCTATAGAATATAAAATTAGAGATATATTAATAGTATATACTAATATTTAGCTACTATATAAGATCTAAATAATTTTATATAAAATATAGTAAGTAAGAGAGTTTTAGTATCTAAAGAAGCTAAAGCTAATTATAATTAAGATAGTTACTATAAGGCTTAATTAAGGCATACTTAAAAGATATAATAGGTAGTATCGTAATCTATACTTCTTAGTTCTAAAGATTAAATAACTAATAACTATAAATAACTTTTAATTAATTAATAATATAGTAAAGTATAAAATAGTAATAGAGCGTAATATCTATATTCTCTTATTAGCTAATAAGTTCTTAAAGCGCTTTATAGGTAGAATAGTATATTCTTACTTTAACCTCTTCTTAGGATATAACTAAATACTACTATAGCGTAATATCTATATCCCTCTATTAGCTAATAAGTTCTTAAAGCGCTTTATAGGTAGAATAGTATATTCTTACTTTAACCTCTTCTTAGGATATAACTAAATACTACTATATATATTAAGTTATAATATTACTATATTTTAGACTTTAATTAGACTTAAATAGTAGTATATACTACTATAAGATATAACTAACTTAGTTATAGTTTTTATTTAAATAGGTATATGTGTGAGAGTGGAACTGCAATAGGAAGTGGTTGCTTCTTAATCAGGAAGCGGAGGCACGCTTGGCTACTCGCTGCTTTTATTTGGCCCGTGCGCTGACCCCATCAGATATAACCACGCTTCCCTCGCCGTCCTATTCACCTCCCACTATCGTCCCTTTCCTCCTTCCACCTCACACCGTCTTATTGGTCGCTCAGACTAAATCCGTGAGGCATTTTAGTGCCCTTAGAAATCATACAATCGCTGCACTGCCTGGCCATGTTATCCACCTTACCCCCTCCTTGAGGATCCACGATTAAGCCTCTGCGTTATATCCTTTGCCAGACCCTCTCGACACGTTCTTCTCGACCACCCTACCAGCAGCTCTGTCTCTACCTGAAATTTGATCACTCCAACTCTCTCGCCTGCCTTATAGTAGGAAGTCTTTGCATCAGGGCTTTCATGAACGATTTGCAACCGTTCCATACTTTCGCCCTCTCGAAAGCGAACGTTCCTCCTAGTCTGCTCATCCTAAATCTGCCACGTCATCGATCACACAGATCGGCAACAAAGGGGCTTCGGACGCCCTGGTTACGACTCAGCACGAAGCGCTAAACCGGTAAAACTCCAGCCGTACACCTAGCGAGGTTACGTTGCCATGTAGCTTTAGAGAAATAATTGGTTTTGAACCGTCTAAGTGTCACTGCAAGCCCAGTTCCACTAAAAGATCACGCCAGAAAAGCCTCAGCTTGAGTCCGACCCACTAATCATCTATGCAGGTAGCGGTCAGGTATGTACTTCCTAAGACTGCGTTAAAACACAGATTGGTGGAGTTTGAGTCCATTTGACTGCCTGAATGATGGCAGTGTCCTATTCCGGTGTTACATATCAGGGGTAGTGAAGGCTAGAGCGGGCCTTCAGCACAGCTTAGGCGCCAATCTCTCTACACTGTGCGGCTCACACGCCACTAAAAGCCCGACGTCTAGAGTCTGAACACGGATTTGAGCCCGTATCTGGGTTTCGGAGTGGCCGACGAATTGAGAAACCCCGGTTGGAATATCTCTGACCAGTAGACGTGCTCTGACGGAAACGGGCCGGCGGGACCTGTAGCATAGCCTGAAGCCTAGGAACATACATTGTACTTCCTCATTTTGAGTATGAGTATTAGTGGGAGATATGGTTCCGTTTCCATCCAAGAAGAAAGGGGCTTCAAGCGAAGGCTGCATCGCCGCCAACACTTCGCATCCGCATGATACGTTTGGGTACACGGCACGAAGTTGATTTGATTCTAGCCTAATATGCTGCTAGCAAGGGTGCGCAGTTTCGAGCATGGTCTCGTACAGGCTGCTGCCTGATGGGCGCTAAATGTCATTCTAGAGGGCTTTCTGAAAGGATTCGCATTACAGGAGAGATCTTAAGCGTGGTATCTTTGCCTATTTAAACCTCTGTGTCTTCTCTCTCCTCGCAACGCCAGCACATCTTCGAGCCACCACAGCAGCGATGGCATTATTCTCTGATACTTTTCTATATCTCACACACAAGATTCTCTTCAAATCATACAGTACAGTGGGCCACCAAAGCCCAAGCAAACCTCTCGTCGAAACCCCTCAAAGGCTCTGTCAAGCAAAGACAGTTTAAAATTCAACACTAAACTAGATAATAAAGAGGATTTTGTACCTACTTCGGACAGAGTTGAAGTCATTAGTTCAACATACTTGGGTAGGTATTCCTACAGCCGACGAAACCATACTGTGCTTATTCTAGCATTCTATCATAACTAACAAAAATATAGTTGGAGAAGGCAGCAGCAAGATCAGCGGTAGTAGAGGTGGAGAAGATAGTGATATCAGCAATTACGACGATTTTGCGCCCCAGAACGACAGTGAAGGCGAAGAGTTTAAGCGAAACTTTCGAGAAGGCACAGAGGACGAGAGCTCAAATCAGCCAGCTCCTTCTGAAAACACTAATCAAGGTAAGCGCCCAGGTGTGGTCATAATAGTGGCTCTTGCACACCATTTCTAACATTGCGTAGAAACTATGGTCATCATCAAAGACAGTCAGCCCAGCTCAGATAGAGACCATGGCAGCTCGCACGAAAACAATGCAGGAACGCAGATAGGCGATCGGCTTGAAGTTTCAAGCATCACAGCCCCAGTTCTTCGCGGTGGAGAGTGTCCTATAGACGTGAGGAATGTTGTCGACTCCGATGCGTTTGGACAAGAAAAGACTCAAATGAGTGGGTTCCCGCGTCGCAAATCTCCATCAACTCCGCCAACAAGCTCGTCAAAGATGGATATCGAACAATCAACGCAAGGCAGCCCTCCTACGATCGAAAACACAAGCAGTAGCAGTAGTAGCAGCGATACCGACAACGACCGTAATGATCGCGGTAATCAGACTGCGTGGCTGACCCGCAAGCGGAAACGCTTCCAGCCAACCAAGCACCACATTCGATCGTCAAACACGACATCGAAGCAGCGCCTCAAGCACAATGTGCGCCCAGTGAAGCAGCAAAGGCTGCCCCCCTCTGGTGGCAGGCAGTTCTCTAACCGTCCTTTGGCCCTAAAACCTCTGTCAGGACCACCGCACAGCGGATATGATGCCAAAATCTACTATAGCGATGACAGCGGCGAGGACAGCAGTGAACATCGCTCCCACAGGCATAAGCGGAAGTGCATTCAGGACACTGCGAACGATCACGACGACGAATATGAGGTAGAGAAGATTATCGATGCCCGTGTCCATCGTAGAAAGCTACAGTACCGTGCCAAATGGCTAGAATATGAGGAGGATCCGGAGTGGTACGATGCGTCTAACTTCAAGAATAGCCCGCACAGACTCCGGGATTTTCATGCGGCCAATCCATTCCACCCCGGCCCTCCAAGAAGGTTGAAGATTTGGGTACAGTGTTGGGAGACGGATAAAGATGCGGGCAATCATCCTGATGATAATAAGGCTAAAGAAATAAACAACTAGATGGAATACGGTTAGCGGACCTGGGATTTGGACTCTAGGCGGTTTTATTTCCTTATTTTTTTTCAACTACTAGGTTAGCACAATCTTGGGTTTTCCTCCCCCTACTATCAATAGTCATAGGTTACCTCTGTTAGCTTAACATTTTGTGTTTACTTAAGGAAGGGGAGATGAGGCTATAATGCATGCTAGACCTATCCACCAGACTACCGTTCTAGCAACGTGCCGCTTTTGGCCTAAATAGCACGACCAGCTATACAGAACTTGCATAGCCCCTAAACTTATGCGCCACGTCACTTAGCGGCCGCTTAGTCCCTAGACGCATGCCATAAACATCGCCCCTGGCTCCTCAATAGCTTTCAAACCCGGCCTACACTATCAGCTGCGAACCTCCGTGTACGACTCAGATTGAGGAACCTAACTCTTATAAGAAGGCAACCTTTTCGCCAACTTTATCATTCCCAATGTTCGATTTATATAGGCTCCAGCTCGCCTTCATCAAAACAATATTAACCTAGAGAACAGGCATCGAGCGGCATTCTCCTTGTGTCGGAAGATGGTAGAGCGAGATACACAATACAGGTTCGCGCTAATCGTACGGGAGCTTTGCAACCATACTTAGATGCTCAAGATAAGTGTCACGCAAGGAGGGCTTAGATGATGGTTAGAAGACAGAACTGAGGGTCACATACGGGGGAAACCCTTGAGTGGCCACAAAATCCTTCAATCATGAAAATACTGCTATGTTTGTTCTACAGGTCTATAGGGTACAGTACCTTTCATAGTATTGACAGTATGCCAGCAGTATGCTAGAATAGGGAGCTCTGGGCTACGCCTGAGCCACGATGAGGGTGTCTTACGACACATGCATCCTTCGGGCTTGAGACCCCAAGCCGTGGCAATCTTCGTATCTCTATTGCCCGACTAGCGACACAAGGCGCCCGCATTATCAATCTGTCAATGACGAATCGCTCTTTGCCATTTTCGTGCTCGATCTCAATATAACTATCGCTTGTCTCCAATTGTAACAATCGTCGGGTCAAACTCTAATTGCTCCTCGTCCATCCAGAGAAACCCAAGCACTGCAGATACGAACCGCAGCCCATCCTTGTTGATGTCGAACTGCTTGGAGGGGATGGATGCCCCCGAATGTCTATAGCCGCAGGTGTTTTGTTTATGTCATGTGCATGATTGGGAGTTCCGCGATGCCGCTATGGTTCTATTGGCCCTAGATGTGAATCCATGCGCCAAAACCCCCTCTTTCCTCGACACTAACGTAGTTATTTATCTTGAGGGTGCAAGGCCAGTCGTCATCTGCCGTCTCCACCTCATTCCCGGCTTGGCGCATGTTACCAATTGCAATTCGCAGATCATCCCGCACCAGTAAGGATTAGGAATGCACCACTAAATTCGCGTCAGCATAGCCCATGTCTGTCGAGGTGGATTTCATCACTACGCTAGACAAACGCTTAGTATTGACTTCTGTATTCTGCATGCGGAGGTAGACAATAGATCTTGGAACATAACTGTAGTGCTTTCTATAAAGTTGGCCATCTGGGCGTCACAAGTGTATCAGATTTCAAAACCAGATATACCAATAAGTTTACTCTCCTCTAAGTGTAACTATCCAAATTCAGCTTTGTTAGTGTTCTTTGTCGTAAATATTTGCCTGAGTACTGATAAGTTCAGAGACAGCAAAATGTGCTCCTTCATTGAGAACAGAGAGAAGTACACTGGCTGTAACGAAAACCCAAAGCATACCAACATAAAGCGAAAATACGATACAAGTGGATGTGCAAAGGCCAGGGACTCTGGATATCACTGTGGTGATGAGGCGACGCCAGCAAAGGGAATTAACGGCCAAGTCATTCAATTTGGCTCCAGTGTCAAACCAGGACCATGCCCAAAGTGTTTGTAATTGTTACAATGAGAGACGAACCTCAGTATGCTTAGTTCCAGCCTGATCTAGATCGCGCTGACGTCTTGATAAGAATAATCGCAACAATTCCTATCGCGAGGACGAGGAGAGGGAGCGACGAAGGACGTGGTGTTTTTGTCAAACTGGATTTTCCATCGGAGAAGATTGCTGGTACTTTCATTAGTATAGCGGACTTGATTTTAGCTCATTCACTCATTACCTCTGATGTCATTGCTCACAGCCTCAGCACTGTCGTATTTTGCTTGCCAGCACTTCGTGATAACTTGCCCAACCGGCCCAAGCGAGATAGTGCTGGGAAACTCGCTTTTTTGGAAGAGGGTGTCAATCTGTTCGTCTGAAAGACCATGGTATGGAGCGGTTCCTGTCATGATATGATAAATCACAGAACCGAGAGCAAAAATGTCAGCATGTGTTGATAATAACTCTCCCGGGTACCGGTGACTTTCGGTTACCGCAACTAGTAGACTAGATCCGTCAAGTGAGGACCCTCCAAAGTCTCCCAGCTTAGCATCTAGTTCTTTTGTCAGGAAGACATTGCTACAGGTTAGGTCTCCATGAATGACTCTAACGGAGTGAACGAAAGAAAGTGCATCTGTTATTTGCTGCACCCAACGGAGTCTTTGGGCAAAGCTGATGTCCATGCGACTAGAAAGAGTTGAACAGAGATTGAATCCAGGTGCGTACTCAAGGCGTATACCGAATCTATCAAAAGGCCCATGATATCGCAAGAGTCCTTCATGGCCACCACGTTCTTCGAACCGTTCGTAGATGCGCCTTTCTACCTGAAGGGAGTCGGCATGTGTCTCGTCATGCGGTGTTTTGATGATAGTCTGGGAAGCCGCGTCAAGGCAGACCATGCCAGTGTTTCCATAAGCAACAATGTCTTTTGACCCGAATCCAGTTGGATATTCAATCAAGCCGTTATCCATGTTTCAAAAACCAGTGAATCGTAAGGTCGATTTAAGCGCAGGTCGCGCTGGCCAAGGTATTAGGGAGGAGTACCGAAAGAGTGCAGGAAATGAATTCACGTTAGGATGGAGAACTTCCTATAAGCTAGAAGGCCGTAGTTAGATACATACAACTAGAAACTGCGGTCCTTGGTGAACTTACACATTATCAACACGAGCTTCCACATGTACCAAGAACCAGGTAGGATGCTTGATACCTGATGCTATGGTACTGATATATCCCCTCAGAGATGGCTTTTGCTACAGATTCACCGAGACAATAGGCGTACTGAACGTGAGCGATGCGTGAAGGTCGCTGAGTGGACTGGATTGATTAATCCATTGATCACCAGCCATGCTTTCCAGCTATGCCCGACTAAGCTAACGTAACGCAGTTCGGACATAAGTTGTTCCATCTAGCCCCACTTCATCTCGCCAAAACGAGATCAGATTTCCCATAGGTTCCTGCGTCCCTACCATGATCTATCCTTGCCTGCAAACTTATTTTCGTTCCTCTCGTCTGTCATGTTTTTCTCTGCAAGGTTGTTCATATCTCTAACTTTTCCACTCAACCATTGTCTTATAATTGTTTTGTGACATTGGGTGAATAACCTCATAATGAGCGTCGTTAGCGCGGTGATGCTAAAAACGTATGAAGATATATTTTGATGCATTCCTAGGGCTACTAAAGGAATATGTGGATCGCAGGTGCATGTCTGATATGTGAGATTAATAGCTTTGAGGGGTTGCTTTGCATAGGAAGAGAAAAACTAAGCAACATACTGAGTCATAGGACCCCTCTTACGTAAGGCCACAGGGAACGCTGCCTGTGCGCCGTCATGAATCTGGCCCCAACAAACCTCGGCTAATGCTCTCCGCTTTGCTTTCCGCTCTGTATTGCGCTTTGCCTTTCGCTCTGCCCTCTACTCTGCGCTGCGCTCTGCTTTTCACTCTGCGCTGCGCTCTGCTTTTCACTCTGCGCTGCGCTCTGCTTTTCACTCTGCGCTGCGCTCTGCTTTTCACTCTGCCCTCTACTCTGCTCTTCGCTTCGCTCACCTATCCTCTCGTTATGACGGATTGGCTCACCAAAGAGCTTGAACGAAAACGAACCACTTTCGAAAGCGATGATTTCGTGCGGCCCTCGTTAACACGTATCAAAGAATGGAATGACTTGCTAAAGGAAGAACACGCCTCATTGATCACCAGATCCAGTGGACGTCGAAGTGTCTTGCGTCGCGCACGGGATGTTATGCGAAAGGTTTTGGACAAAGTTGGCCCTGAAGTACTCCTATTGCTTGTCACAACAGTGCAAATAGCAAAGAGGGCAACGCTAGATCATAAGACGCTCGTGCCTAAGCTGCAGACGTGGTGGGCTGCAGTCTTACATCCTCCAGCGCTCACTGCAGTCGCCAATAATTGTTTCAAAGCGCGCGGTCAAACAACACTGACTCAGGAAATTCCAACCAAAGTCATTCCCACTAGACAACGAGCAGTACATGAGTTTGGTATGACTGAAGTCCTCTCAAAAGTACAAATCTGAGAAATACAGAATACGCTATTGTCCTTGCGTCTCAGAGCATCCCGGACTTAAACGATCGGCATGCATGGCTGATGAGTACTCTCGTTCACGTGCAATCATTGCAACAATCTAGCTGCGCGGACGAGACAGCAGATCGTCTCCACGTCGCTGAGATAGCGGATCTGGATGAGATAGAAAGTTATCTCGGGCGCTACCTTTATTTACGTGTTCAGGCTAGTCACACGAGACGCGCCGAGGAGTTGGATGGTTTTAAGGGCACGAACGCCGTTCGTCTATACCTTGCGCATGAGCTTGGAGAAGATTTCAGATTAGAGGTTAAGATAGATACATTGTACGCGAAGCCCATCAGCGAAGATACACGCTTAATGGACGACTGGGAGGAGATACTCGGAACCTTTCTTTATGCAGGTATGAAGGCTAGCAGATCTAGGAAGATTGAGGAAAAGCTAGGTTTGAAGCTTACTGGCGCTGCAAGGATCTCACCTCCAGAAAACGGTGCCTACGATAGCAGATTGAACGTCATGTTAGATTTCGACACAGGCTACAAGGCGTGGCTAGGCTTATTTCGTCGCTAAACCTTTCGCACCAATTTAAACCACATCTCTCCAACAGCGACGCTTTCCCCCTGAGATAAAATGACATTTTCACCTTTCTCGCTGGTGTTTTGTGACGTCATCTCATCTTTACCAACACTTATTTTACCGTTACCAGGCTTCCAAAACATGACCCTATCATATGTGACCGCTCCAAATATGCGATAGCTGATATACTCAAAGTCATCGTTGGCGGTATGCCCGTCCTCATGTTTCTCGTAAGTTGAGAGCATTAGGATATTAGAAAACGTCGGTCCTACCTGGGACATTTGCGATGAAACAAATGTTAGGATTTTTTTTCGCCCAGTTGCGATGTGTATGGGGGAATGCGCCCTGCAACTCAGGATTCAGAAGGGCTTGCCGCAGTTATAGAATGTACGCCGTGGAGATATGGAGGAGGTCACGAAGATGTGAGCTTTTCGAGCACTCGTCGGCGCAAAATGGTCTTCTAATAGAAAGGCTGATATCAGCATATGTTTGAACGCGTTGAAAAAATTACTCACACAGAGGACTGGTTCAAGACCGCACTCGGATGGCTGGAAGAAATGGCAGGAATGTTTGCATCTTAGCTAAGCGAAATCAATAGGGAATGTGATCTTTAGAATTAAAAGAAGAAGTTTTAATTACCTGTTCGTTGTGTAGACTGATCGCGGGAGCAAAATGGTAATGTGTTGTAAGGCTATGGGGATGCGTTGATGCCCAAGCAGTTGGGTTCGAGGGGCAATAGCATTCGAATGCCCCACCTTCCATAATCGACACTATCACGTGCAACAGCTCAACTACTCGCCCCGCGGTACCTAATTCGGAAGAACTAGGCACCATGGAGTGAGCATTAGGCCACACTGGAATCTTAGGTTGAGTAAGCTATATCGCGAAACGTGTTCAATTCGTAAGTGGCCTAGCTACCCTATCAAAGCTAACGCGACTGACAACAACAATGATACCGCGATGGTAACGTTGTCGATAGACTTGTGAACGCAGGCTTCTTTTAGCATTTCGTGCGCTTTAAGTAACGCAGGGAGAGACCATCAGTTTTAGTATATATCTCTCATAGAAGAGCACTGCAGGCTCAGCAAGGCCAGTAGCTCATTCCAGAGACAGAAAAAGTAGTTTTGGAGGTTGGACAAGCTCAGGTTATTCGAGGACGTCAGTGCGCACCGCCAAAATGTACGAAATGTCATGTTCAAGGGCACACGTAAACTCAGTGTACTGCTATCAGAAGATTTTTGATAAGTTTCATCAAAGTGTCTTTTCTTGTCGTACAACTATCGCACAGAGATTTGCGTTCGCTTTGGTGGGGTGGTCCACTTGCTGATGGAACACGTTAGCTGGCATGCTACCTCCAACTTATGCACGGCTAAGGGCCACATATAGCGAAAGGTGGTAGTGGATAGTGGAGCCACTCTTGGTTTTGGCTTCGGCTCTGGCTTTGGCTTTGGCTTTGGCTTTGGCTTTGGCTTTGGCTCTGGCTTTGGCTTTCTTTCCCTGTATCTCCCTTCTTTACTCTACAATCCACTGATCCATACAGTGTGATTGGTTTCATGATTACTGCAGCTTTGAGATGTTAATTGATTACGGTAGGATGGCCCTTGGTATGAATGTAGAGCGTAAGAACAGATGAAACAATCCACGATTTATCCATGTACATTCGTATATTACCGTATCCCCAAGCTGAATATCTCTATGTTCAATTGTATATCGCGAAGATTGATGGATCGCTGCTTTGTATCTAGAGGAACGGACTAGTGCGCATAATCTTTGCATTTTGTAATATCTGTCACTTTAATCTACACCGGAAATGAAATGTCCTGCAAGCCTCTTTTATGCCTGATTTGATATGACTTAGGGGCATGGCACCTATTATTGTTCTCCACAGCAGGACTAATGCGTATCAGCATAGTCTGAGGCGTGACTACGGACGTTAAGAGGCAAATCAAGTGCCAACAGATTTGTGAATATTGGTATAAAGGATAACAGTCTGTCTCTATCACTTCAATGTCTCAGAACCGTCGTATCTTGCCTTGCCTAGCCAGTTGCCTCTCCTCAACCTATTTCTCCCTCCAAACCTTTCACACCTCCAAGAATTTCGGTGCTCCACGCTTTGCTGTCTTTTCCCGCAGTACTGTAACGTTCACTGATATTTTTTACGCTTCTTATTTTCGCATAATCATCTCGAGGTCCGCCTTCCCCTTGTCGACTGGCTCCCCTGCCTCAATGACCTGTTCTCGAGCTTCTGATGATTTAGTGTAGTTCGCGGACGCACATTCCGTTCTATACATAGTTCGCTGCGCTAAAAATCTCATTTTGAAGCACTTCAATCACGAACACTAAGGTTAGAGCATGCATTCGTAACCCGAAAAGTACATGCTGATTTAATAGTCTCGCCGATTCAATATGTCGAACACAAATACTACACCTTCCGTAGACACGTCCTCGTCTTCTAGTGAGCATTCTACGAACCCTACCAATATCAACGGAACTAGTGGGGGTAGCAACAGTGAAGCTAGGGATAATGTATCAACCAATGCACCAGAAAATTCGTCGAGGGCAACAACGCTGAGTAATTATATCTGCACTACCGGTTCGTCGACAGAAGATCAACAAGCATGGAGCGCTACTCCTAATCGATCTTAACTGGAAATACCTGCTTCAGGTAGCTGTTCGAAAACCATAGTGCGATGTTGGCCTTGGCGAACATATCATGTGATAGAAATGACGTAATCGAATGAGTCATTGCCTTTGTTCCGCTTTGTCTCAACACCGTAGCCATAATACATCCAATTGTGCAGGGACGTTCCGATACCTTCTCATGCAAGAAGAGGCTTCAATGTCGTCGCATATCGCCTTTGTGACCTCGACACCACGGCTCGACGCACTCGCTGCTACAGTAGTTCTTGATAACCGCCGTCCATTTCCTGTGGAGGAAGGAGCCCGTTTAGACCAGTATGCGCATTCGACAGGCTTGGATGAGATTAAGAAGGAGATTATCCGCATGGTGTGCTTGCAAGTATCACTTTTGAGGATTCCGCTAATGCTTCTGAGGGTCTGAAGATTAAAGCTAAGGTGCAAGGGCTGGAAGTAGAACTTCCAGTCACGAAGCCTATGGCGCTCCTCCACATGTCTGGCCGCTTGACTACTGGAGAATCTGAGATCGCCATAATCAAGATTCTTATGAGCTCTGAAAAGATCAGTGGGAAAACATTAAAAACTTGGCACATAGGGGATATCAACCCTCAGGTGACCAACCTCAACTCAGATCTGATTATTATCTACCCTAACGTCCGCTACGAAATACCTGAAGACGTTCCATTCTGCCCACTATTCAGTCAAGTCTCCCTTGGAGCCCAAACTGTCTCCCATTCCCGAATATCCTCAACCATCTCTGGATCAATATAGTCGCTCAATCGTATAGGTGCACTGCTTCCGCAAGAGTCTCGTTCAACATGGTTTAGCGCTGAGGTGTGGGTTGAGGTTGTGGATGGTAGACGCGACTCACAAGCTTTGTCGATAAGAGAAGACCCTGAAGACCTGTGTTCATTAATAGGTTGCACAGAGTTTCCCATAGAATCCTTAATTGTAAGGTTGTCTGTGATCCCACTCCTAAGGCCGTTAACACTGTTGGTGATAGATGGACTGGGGAAATCATCATCATTCGAGATGGTGTTCGTGCCGATCGTATCCTCATTACTCGAATCTGCAGCACCACTCGCTTCTCTCCTGATCAACTGTTGTTCTGATGCCCTATGGAAAACTGCGCTGATGTTTCTGCGCTTTATTGGTGTAGAATCGTGCCGTTGTTCCGGACCAATGGAGATATTTGTTAAGCGTTGGCCTTCTACTTGAATTGTAATCTCATTACTTTCTGGTATTGGAATTGGGTATACCGTTGGGGGCTGCAGATCTTCATTCCCAGAGACTCTCCGTCTTTTGGTGGTGTTCGTGCGTGGTTCAGTAGCATGATATGCTTGTTGACTTTGCATAGCATGAAGGATTGGTACAGGCCCTTGTTGTTCAGGACGAATGACATGAGAGGGAAGTCTGACATCTATTCCAGGCCCAGGCCCTGCTGGCGATTGTGAAGCACGCCTGCGGTGTTCATTGCTGTCTGGGGTGATAGCTTTTGGGAGCACCTTGCCGTCCTCGGCAAGTGACTTCGTATCTACATAACGGCAAATGAGCTTGGTTAAACGGGTAGATCCTTTCGTGATATCGACACTCTCAATGCCTTGAGCCAAGAGATCTTTGACAAGCTCGTTTACCACGATAAAATCCAAAGACCTAGACTGTTTTTCGACAGAAGTATGAATCTTGCGGTAATTGCACAGTAACTGGATGTCTTCCTTGTTGAGATTTTCCATACTTCTATACATTAGCAGTAGTCAAAATTGGAGCTCTCCATACTTACTCGAATTTGGTGGCGTTCATCGACAACAGAGAACCTGGACCTCCTATTTCTGAACATTCTAAGTATCGACAGGCATCAGAGTATGTTCTACGTGCAATTTCCCTCTTTTTCTTATCACCCCTGGATATTGTATCAAAAGCGATCGATTTTTTGCGTCGTCCTTGTGAAAGTACAAGTTGCACGCTTTCATATTGATCTACCGCATTGCTGAAGTATAGAAGGTTATACCGGTATACTTTGATATCTTGCTTTGGAGATATTTTCTCGAAGATCGCTGTTGCGCGCGCGATTGAGGTTTTCAGGATTGATTCTTCGTCGCAGATGCTGCCTGGACTGATAATTGCCCCTATCCGTGTGATTGAGGTTTCTTCGATTGAGTCTTCATCGTAGACTCCGCCTGGATCAACAATCTCCTGAATTTGGAACTCAGTAATACGTTGAGCTACTTTTACTAATCTCCTTAACCTGTTCCCTTGCTCTGGGATTAAATTTCGGAAGTATTCTTCCGCCGAGGTTGGAGTGTCCCGTGGTGGCTGCTGTGTGGCTGGGACCGGGGTCCGGAGAGGATTTATCCGTCTGAATCGTTCATCAAACTTCAACAACTCCTCTGGAAGCAGTCTGAAACACTCGTCTACCGCTCCTTTTCTGAAGAATCGACGAACACTCGCAAGCAAGACCTTGATCACTCTTGTTACTTATTAGCTCTTATTTTTCGGGATTTACTTACTTCGTCTCTCAAGACATCAGACGGTGTGCAGGAATCTAGGGCTGTTACAAAATCGGCGCGAGATCTAGAAGATGCCATTTCTCTTGAGTGGGCGTCGAGTTTTGCAGGTGCGAGTATGGAGGTCTCCAGGGAAATGAGCTTTTAGTCCCAGTTCTGGGATCGAACCTAAGCCGCTTTGAGAATATGCTTCGCCAAGAGTGTTCACGACGTCGTTCCTGGGCTCGGGTCGCCTAACCTCCCTTCTGCCGTATCCAGTGTCTCATTGAATGACCACTCAGTAATGGTTTTGTCGGCTTACCGAACTCGCGGTATAGCCCCACATGAATCTGATCGGCGTAGCATTCAGTAAAAGGCCTTTCCGCTGCAGGCCTCGTAAGCTGTGACCAACTATCAACAAGCCTGCCATGCTAGTATTGGGGAACTTCCAACCCATGAAGCAGTCCGCTATGCGATTGAATTGTGCACAGATAGGAGCTCTGAAGCTCAAACTCACGGTATTCAACGCCCACTCGCACTATCGGGGCCGTGCCGCACCGGTTGCCTCGTACCCGCGCTCCCTTCCGTGTCGTTCGTCGGCAAGAACCCTGACCAGAGCCACCTCCCAGAAAGCAATGGCCTCTCATTGTCTGGAGCATTTTCGAAAGGTCAATCCAATCAGTGGAACGGCTGAGATGCTTATATATCACGCAACCTTCCTGCAAGGCTAAGCCGTCCTTCTATTCATTGCTTCACCGCTCTTGCGTCCTCCACCGGTTGCCTTCTTCAAGTTCGGTTTGCTAGCAAAATGGCTCCAGCTTCTGCAGATGCATCTCCGGTATGTGGTTTGTCCGTATCTTTCGATCTAAACTCTAAGGAATAAAAACGAGGCTGACCTTCCAGTCTGATTCTCTCGAGGACCAACCACGCGAAAACGGTCTTGTCATCCAGCCTACTTGTAAGACACTTCGCTCTCGAAATCTGCTCGAGATCTGATTAAATATGAATGCTAACAGATCAAAGCGAAAAGGAGCTACCGATGCAAATCTTGTGGAATATCCTTTCCCTGCCACGAGCCATGGCAACACCATGCCAACAAGCATGGCGAAACTTTCCCACATATTCATATTGAACTCAAGCCGTTAGCTTTGGCGCCAGATGTTATTGCTTTGCATGATGTTTATTGCCGTCGCAGAACCCACTATGTTCGAGTAACTAGCTCGACACCTTTGGGACCCTTCTCTGCCATACAGCGGATAGACGAAGTAGAGGAGTTAACTTTTAAAGAATTCCTGAAAAGAGATTTCACTTCTACGGAAAATCACAAAGCGATAGTGAGAAGGATGGAAGAGTTTGATAAGAAATGTTGCAAGTCGGTTCACGAAAGAACCACAGTAAGGCCCCTGGGACATCCATCCTTGAAGGCAGAATCTGATTTTATACAGTTTGTTACCAAGAAACTCGTGAATAGGCTGCTATCATGCTTTCCATGTATCTCGGTCCCGGAACAGTCAAGGCCTAGTCGTTGGCCGAGCAGACCAGACATGAGATCAAAGTCGCCTTCTCAGTCAACCAAGGCCCTGGCGGCTAATGACGGACTTAGCCAACATACTGAAGATCTGACCTTGACTGTAAGCCGGCCTAGCAGACTACACACGAGTTTGAAGTCGCCTTCTCAGTCAACTGAGGCCATCACTGTCAATGATAGACGCAGCCAAGATGTTGACGATCCAGCCTCGACTGTAAGCTGGTCGACTCTTAAGTATGCTGCTTCCGGCGAAATACTTACATAATCGCTTTTCCAGGCAAGGAATAGTCTTCCCCAGAATGTCGCTGCAGTCGTAGCTGTAGCTTCCTTCTACTCGACGGCTAAAGGTGTTCACGGCCACGAAGTACTTGTCACAACCCACTCAGACACTATAATCCTCTTACAACGAGTGGATCTTGACGCGCTTCTTCAATACACACGCACCAAAAAACAACTGCAAGAGATCGTTGGTGAATATGCCTACACAGGGTTACTGGAGTATAGGAAGAAGGGCATAGATATCGAGGAACCTGTTTACCAGGGCTTTCTACCAGATGACTTGCCTATTGGAGTAGGCGAAGAAGTTCGATTGGAAGACTGCTCTCCAGTGCTTGAAGCGGAAGTTCGCTCTGCTCTTGACTCACACGTCACCTTGTAACATAGTCTTGCATTCTTTAGCATTAGTTACAGCGTAATATTTTATCAGCATTTTCTCCATGCTATCATATGCGGGTGTCCTCCAACTACATCAGAACGGTGATATTTTAGGTCGCTGCAAGCGGATCATGCCTGCCAATCAATGGGACTATGTTATAATTGCAATTGTTAAGGAGACATACCGGCGAGTTTGATCCCAAGCATCTCACAAGAAGCATTAGCGTGACAAATAGTTCAGCCGAGAGGAACATAAGGAAAACGGTGGAGAAAGATGGCGTTCCGTGGCGGTACGAGCAGTAAATTGCTTTTCCATTCAACAGATTGGTGATGAACTCTAGTTAATGGCTCTAGACGTCGGACCTTGCATACAATCGTGCTGGCATGAGCTTCCACTTTCATAAATTGCACTTGCTCCGGATTTCTGACAAACTTGGCCACCTTCACTTGCTACTCCTTAACCACCCTTTATCTTCTGAGTTCATTCAGACGCTTCTCGACAAGCTCACAAAGTATTTCCCTTCACAAGCTTCACAGTTTTGCTCTATCGTAACCTCAGTTTTTTCAGCGAGATGTATTGTCCACTTGCTTCGGACCATCGGGAGCAGGACCAGGGTTACCCAGACGAACGAACATTCCGACCTTCGAAGTCAAGAACTTCCAAAGCTTGCAATCGATGTCGTGATCGTAAGCGGAGATGCAACGGGGAGTCTCCATGCGACAGATGTCAAGAAGACAATGAGGCTTGCAAATATGTGGAAACCCAACCAACTGCGTACAGTCTCCTCCTTGTCCTTCCAATCTTATGCTTACTTCCTTCAGCCAGGAGATGACACTTTTGAGGATATACCATGTCACAGATCGTACATGGAAGAAAGTTTCTAGTTTTGCTGACCTGCTAGAGGCGTCTGGAAGAAATCGATCCTACACACATCCGACACTACTCGAACCTAGCCGAAAAGATACGTCGAAGGCATTTTTGAGCGAAAATATGCACCAGCTTTTCAATGCCTACATCAATAATGTTCACATCCTGTATCCAATTTTCGACAAGCCTTGGGCCGTATGTGCTCAATTTCAGGACCACATGAGTCACACAGCAGAGCGGAGCCATTTCGTTGAGCCAAGCTTCGAAAATGCCCATGCACTCCTCTTCCTCGCACTAGGAAGTTGTTTTTCAGATTTCAACAACACAAAAGAGTCGGATACCATACCAGGCAGTTTGTACTACGACTGGGCGCAATATATTCTCAAATGCAAGTGTGGAGATCGCAGCATTGCTTACGCACAAGCGTTGACTCTAGCTGCACTATACAACAACCAAAATGCGATGCTTGGAGAAAGTTTGGCAAACCTATGCCTTGCTCAATCAATATACAAGGACATTGTCAAGAAGTAAGGCAACTCATTGTTGTGCAGATGTTCAGGCTAATAGCAAGCAGCTTAATTGCCAAGGATCACGTTTCCGAGGAAGTGAAGAGAAGCGTTAGAATCTTCCAAATTCTGGCAAGGTCAGTTGACCATATCAGTCTGAGCGCCCCTCTAATTCTTTTGCTAGCGGCGTCCACGATTGCCCCAGCATCCTCCCTTCCGTATCTTACCTTCATGACTGGACCGCATTGAAACCAGGAAAAAAGGTGGAAGATGTCCCTAATGATGTTTTGTGGACAAGGATAATGCTAAGAACGGTACTTGAGAAAGTAAAACGATATCCGCGGCTGCCAGATTTCGCGTCGATAAAGAAATTTGATGACGAGCTCCTTTTCGATTTTGCAAGGTGCGCGGAGTCCAAAATCAAAATCATGGAGGCATGGAGATCTACCATCATGCCGCATTTGGCCTGGAATGATCAAGACCCGCCATCAACGGATCCTCTGATGGCTTCGCTACGAGCAGAGTACTATGAGGGCGTAGCTACGTTGCTGAGACCGTACCTGGAGATCCTGAAATATCTAAATCGTATCGACGTCTCAGTGAACGAGACATCCAAAGGCCAGCGAGGTATCCTTCATACCCTCCATAATTGGAAGAGATATGCTCTTTCCAATATCGTCGCCTTTGACCGTATCCGTTCGGTTGATGGCACTGCGTATAAGGCTTTTCGAAGTACAAGTAATGGTCCAGTAATCATGGGAAATCCTGTGAATACACTTCACTCGTATGTCGACTACCCTGTTACCCAGAACACGTGTCTAAAACTGATCGTCTACAGAGAGTTCAAAACAGTTTTTCTCATTCAAGCCATTGATTCGACTGCACTTGGAACATATATCAGGAGTCTCATGTTGCTTTCGCAGGAGGATATGGATTACCTTTACTACCGTACAGTCGACAGATTGTCAAAATTTCGACCACGTATTGGACTTTTAATCCAGGATATCCAGCTTTTGTGCATGCCTTGGCAACACATGGACCCATTCCTTCGGTTAGATCTAGCCGCCACATTGGCAGTATAGGCAGTCTCGGACAGGTAAAGTAAGTCTTGGGTATACTTTTGGTCGTTTATATCTTTCAGAGTAATACAGTCGTCTGATGCTTCATTCAGTGCTGCCTCGCAAGTTAATAGAAATGCAAATCTAGTTTCTCTATCAAGCTTCTAAGAAGCTAATGTGCCTGTTTCCCATGATTTTGTATCAGTAGTGCCTCAATTCCCTTCCTGTGTGACAGACCCAGCGGACTGAAACTCCCAAATAGGAGCATTGAACCTTAAGATTAGCGCTGAGCGGAAGCATCACTACGCTGCTTCTTCAAATACATCACCACGTTTTAACCCTTGCTCTTTGCAAAGACGCTGGAAGTTTGATCCGTAAGGGGTCTTCAAGCGAAGTGTATCATTCGAACAATAGAATATTCTAACCAGGTCTCCGGTCACGACTCCATTGGCTGACTGTGCACATGATTGGTAGATTTCTGGCGGCATGGAAGTACAAACGAACACCAAGTAGGAGATGCGGGTTACCAATTTCGCGTGCAACAGAAGTCAGAAACCGATCGTGGAAGCAATTAGATCGCGTTATTAGGACATAGTAATGTGTACGGAAAAAAGGTCGGACATGTGGAAGACCTTAAGTGCCTAGAGGTGTCTCATGAGGTTAGTATCTGACAGATTCGGGTGCGCCTTAGCTAGTTGTCGCCCTACAAAAGTGCACCTATCTCTCAAGTCTAGAATTCTATATAATATTCTCCGTTCAACAGACGCAGCAAACGTAAACCTCATATTCTGATTTACCAGTATGGCGAATGACGTCCAGGATGTCAGAGTTGCGCTGCAAACTATTACTCAGGCGCCTATTGAATCGCTCCTTGGAAACACCCGCGAGCTTTTCGAAGCAAATTTTGTTATTGCAAAGGCTATTCACTCTCTGCACTCGAATTTTTGCGAGGATATTGGGAAATTCGAAACTCAATTTGATGATATAACCGACCGTGCTAGTGCTCAGGCTCAGGCTGATCCCATCTTGGAAGTCAGCACCAGGCAAGACAGTGACCAAGAAACGATGCGCCAGTATGAGGCCCGACGTGGTCGACCAGAGCATGCAGTTCTGAAGCTTGCACAGTATTGGATTCAGAAGAAAATGGCGGGACCCAGTGTACTCAGTGCTGCAGATGAACATAGAATATTAGATGATTTACGCAAGTTTGTAATTTCGAGTACTCCTGTATTTTTAGCATTAGTAAGGAATATCAAAAGAAGAAGGTCCGCTACCAACTCGCGACGCTAGAGAAAGCTCGTATGGTAGCTATTTCAAGTATTGAAATTGCCGCTTTCGTTGTCTGTGCACATTAATTGGTTAGGCAGCATAAACACGTTGACGGCTCTCTAAGGCTTTGGCCCCTCGGAAGCCACTGGAGCAGGCGCTGTGGCGTTGAATGGGCAACAGTATTGTGCAAGCCTTTCACCGCTGGCTCGACGCCAAAATTGGTTGCCTAATTTTCCCCGGTTTAGCTCCAAGTTCCTAATTATTGCGCCACACGATAAAGAATATCTCAGATAAATGGACGTATTTTCACATTTTTCGCGCAAATCCACCGATCCCAACTTTCACAAACGAGGACTATACATTACCTAACCAGATCCAGTACAAGCAAAATTTTCAACATGGAGCCCGCAGAGATTATAGCGTCTGTGAACCGGGAGAACACCGAGTTGCAGAACCAAAATCATCGACTTCTCAGCAAGATTCAAGAAATCCAGGATCAACTTTCTGAAGCGCGTACGCTGAACAACATGTTCCAACATACATTCCAAGCCTAAGCTTTTGAGATCTGCACGGCTACTGAGACGATAAACAACCTCCACCATCATATCTACTTTCTACAAAGTTATATAGCTCATGTCGAACACCAATCAGATCAAGCAATGCTAGCATGTAGGCAGACGACCGAGTATTATGAACGGGAAATTGCCGCCGGAAGCTGGTCGGGTCACCGATGGAGCCAGGAAGCGGCAAACCTCAGTTCCAGCGCAAAGGATCTTCATCACAGTGCCTTCGCCAACTTCAAGGCTAGCAACATAAGTGACGAACAGAAAAAGGACCTCATACAGAAGATTATGGAAATCGAGTCCACCGTTTTGTTGAAAGAAATCTAGAAAAACAACCTCAAGCATGCCCTGGAGGATAACAGAGCTCGTCTGAAGAAGGTTTGCATCATATCTTCTGCAATAATTGAGACTCGGAACGATCTGAATCGCAAACTTGCCGAGACAAACGTTATGCTTCGCTCAAAGGCGGGAAAGAGCGCGCACGCTCTTAGCATGGCTAGGAAGGAAAAGAGTACCTTGCAAAAGAAGATCGAGGATACAGAGGAAGAATTAAAAAAGTGCCGAGAAACAGAGGAGCAACTGAGCAAGGCTATCAAGAGGGAAGTACAACTTGAGCGCGAATGCCAGCTGTCACTTGCCGAAGCAGAAGGTCTCCGAATTTCGAATGACTTCTATAAGCGCGAGGATGCAGATCAGACGCAAACTATTTCTAGTTTAAAAAGACTGGTAGCAAACTTGCAGAGTACGGAGCGGAACGAAGGATTCACTAAAACTATCGCCAACCACAAGGCTGATATTGAGCGGCTTGTTGCGAACCAAACCCGACTAGAAGACGAGATTCGAAAGCAACAAAGTATCGCCACTAAGGCTCTAGAGAAGATGAAGGAGCAGATTGAGATTACAAAGAAGGCAAAGAAGGAGGTGGCTGTTTATAAAGGACATGCTCTGGCTACAACCCACTCACTGCTAGTCAGCCTATCGCGCAATAAGTTCGAGGTTGCCACAGAGATTGTTGATGATGTTTTCAAAAGGTTGAAAGATATTGATTCTAAGGAAAAGGCAACACGAGCGATTCACAGCATCAATGGCTATCTTGAACGGCAATCCAAGACGATCGAAGACTACACTGCGAATGTAATGTCAAGCAGTGCTGAGGTACAGGAACTGATAGGGGACCTTCAAAACCAGACTCCAAAGGAAGCAAGGCCAGATGAGTTGAAGGGCTTCATTGGGTATGTACGAGGGTTGCAGCATAGGCTCGGCAGAGACTGCGCAGAAGATGAACAAGCTTGATGTCTAGCACAAAGATTCACTATCTAGTGAAAATGGGTATTACCAGAGGTGCGGGTCCTGCGACTCGCTCTGAACTTATGGAACAACGTCGTTGTCAAGCGTCAGAATTTGGCTTTACCTAGCTCAGCCTGACTGCTTGAGTCGCTTGCAACAGGCTTGGACTTGAGCGTCCTACCTCCACCATATTCCGGCCGCCAGTTCGTTCCTCTCTCATGCATATTTTTGGCTTCGGGTACCACGTTATCCGGATTTCCATATCCTGACCTCTGAATACTCATCTGTAAAAAATCACCGGATACCTTCTGGATTGACTGGTCGTTGAGATGACCACCGAGTTGTTTAATGAAGTCCCCGTATCCACGGTTCTTGCCATCTATTGTCTTTTGGCTATTTGATACCAGAAATTGCACGGCTTCGTTGCCTGTAGCGTGGTTGCTAGAGAACTATGAAATTGCTTAGTGGCATCCTTGACGACCATGTTGAACTCTACACAAGCACTTCCACATCTGAAGAGAGGAAGTTTTAGAATTGTGAAGTCTGCCTCATTATCCAGGACAGCGTGGTGTAAAGACGCTAACACTAGACTCAGCGCATCTAATTCTGCTTTCAGCTCTCTCACATGTTTATGATGACTGTTGAATTCGTTGAACGTCTGATATAGCGCAGAGCTCGACTTAATACCGAAGGTTACTAGCGTAATAATGGCTGATGCTGCACTGACTGGATCCGCCATCTTCAAGACAATGGAAATAGCGCAGACGTAGTTTGAAACGACGTCGAGAAGTATGGTTCGATGATAGAGCGATGACGCGAACAAAATTTGCTGTTTGTAGGGTAACGCAGTACTTAAGTGGATCGAGATCATGTGCGTAGCTGAACCCTGCTATCGCCGAATGGACGCCTTGCAAGAAAGAGCCAATCAAAATGCGTTTTGAATGCAGTGACCATTAGAGCCCAAGTTTCATCACCCAGAGCTGCATTCTTTGATGAATCCACTAACGAGAAACTACGAACTTACAGCAACTGCGGCGGTGGAAGGAAATGTGGAGTGGTTGGAGTCGGCATTTGAGTCTCGTGATGTGCAGGACGTATTATAGTAACGTCCCTGGGTAGCGGGGCATCTCTGCGTGGCGGGACGCTATAGACACTCCATAACACAACAAACGCAACAATAGACCAGAAGAACAGAAACTATTAGAATGGTAGTCTTAAGCTGCATAACTGTAGCTCAGATACAACATAGCAACCGTTCCCCTTGTTACATCTTCAAACGCCTCATCAATCCCACTATATTCGAGTTTGACAATACTAAGGTCCGTTTTAGAATCACAATCATTCTCAGAACTTCAGCGGTGATAATGTTTAACCGTGACTCTCACGGCCACTGATAGCACGCCATGGGTCTGTGTCAAAGACAGGGAGACTTTGTGGCCTATTAGATGTGAATGGATCGTCAAAGCTCCTACGGCATCTGGCTGGCTTATCCCAAGCGTTCTTAGAGTCGCGAAGGAACATGCGCAACAGATGACGGGTACTAGCACCTTCGCCAGCACCATAGTATTCCGCACGAGCATGCATAATGCTCAAATTATGGAAGAGCTGAATGTCTCCTTGTTGACGGTCGACTTTTGTGCAGAAGTGCCTGGCTAGCTCCTCGACAACGCGCATTGCATGCAATTGCTTCTTCGTAACCCGAGGCATAGAGGGGTCACGTGGGATATTGCTTGTACCAAGAAGTGGAGCCTTTACGAGCTGGCACATAGGTTTGCCTTTCGAGAAGAAGAGCGTAGAGCCCAACTCGAGGTAGGGTGCTCCATCCCTAAGCCTTGTCAGCAGAAGTTCGTTTTCGTATGTTGCTAGCAGAGAATAATAGAGCTCACTTCTTTTTCAGCTCGAAAGGCCAATTTGGCTCTGCCATTGTTTCTAGAACCCCAGGGTCTCTTTTTAGGAGTTCGTTGTAGATCTTTGGAAAGCTCGCGACAAACTGTTCGCCCCCAGTACCAGAGCCGCCATCATTGCGCACATGGAGAGCAATTACGTCGCCTGAGAAGCGATCACTGTGGAATTCCATGGCTGAGGTCACCTTAGAGCCAGCTAAACCAATACCTTGGCAACCTTCTGGGATCTGCCTTTTGGTAGCGTCGATAATGTGGCTTAGCGTCTGGTTGGCATAAGAGTCAGTTGCTCGTTCCGGGCAAATGTACGAACAGATACCAGCAAAAGCGATAACGGCCTCTTCATCGTTAAAATGAGCAGAATCTAGACCTCGCAGAACAACTACACCTTTACCGTGATGGAGTTCTCTGCTGATAGATGAGAGCATCTTCACCAAATCCAGGTTGCGAAGAGCGAAGGTGTTCGTGCTTATCTTTGCGCGCGGAAGTCCAGTGACTGGAATGGGAATCAGATCTTGCCTTATTAAATAATGAGATCGGATACTTAAGCTTGAATGTGATCACAGCTGCTCCGATATCCAGGATATGGCGATCATCGAGCTTGACTACGTACTCGGTTGGACTGAGCTCATCTCCCTGCCATACGAGAGAGCCAGAAACGGCCGGAGCGAGAATTTTGGATGGATTGAGAACGAACGACGATTTCCCTTCCAGGCATTCATGAGAAGAAATCGTACTAGAAACCTGAGATGACATTGTTAATCGTCCAATTTAGTTAAAGGCTATTGAGATTATACAAAAACTCAACAATGGTGACAGTACTAAAGTGTGTGGAGAAAGACCAATGATAAATCGGAGTTCCGAGAATGTCGAGACAGCACTTGAAAAGACGCTTGCCACCTTTATTAGTGCCGGAAAGATCGGCAATCCATACCCGTCTAAGCGTCTCTACCGCTACCCATCATGTTGTCCTCCCCGCCCCACCCCCTTCTCATTAATGCACGTCAGTCAGCCTCCGCGGAGAAAGAAAACATCTCCGTATTATCTTTCGACGACGTCGAGGATGAGATTGATATAGAGCAGCGGAGTGTGACGTGAATGTTCTGTTAATGATTTAATCTAGTTATAAGAAGCCATATGAATTCATGTTTTCCAGCCGTTATCTTACATGATGTTAGTCCTACATCTAAACATGGTCGTAGTAGTGCTGGTTACACGATTCTTGTAGAGCATAATTTGGATGTCTAAGAACGCTATTACAGGACACGTATCATTTGATCTAAACGTGTAATCATTCGGACGCTGCAGTCAATAGTAGCGACAAGCATGTCTCATCTCTACCAGCTCTAGGTCAGCGCTAATGAGGCCCAAATTATTACTAGCATTGTAAGGCTGAGTTTCACAGATGTGAGTATATAGAAATGGCAAAGATCTCATATTCAGGCTTCTCAACTCTTAAGTTGCGCGACTTCATTTTTGAATTAGGCTAAGGTAAGATTGGATGTGTGCTTTATCTTATGCATCACGATGGTAATGGCGGACGCCGATATAATTACATCATCGACTAAATCACACATTCACCTTAGTCGGATTTAAACATATGGATGATATGGGGTCGCAGATACAATCGAGCACAGGATTGTCGCTCGCTAATCACCTAGAGCAGTAAAACAATCGGATAGCACATACCTAGATGGCAGGAGCCGTCTCGAGTGTTGATGAACTAGGTAGCCACGACTAGCGACGGAAAGCTATTAGACAATTTTCCACGGTCTAGACCTTACAGGAAATATTCGGGGTATGGGTACAAGAGCTGGCGTCCCTCTCTGTACGGTGAAAAATCCAGTGAGGCGAAAGAAACTGATAAGAGTGCAAGGGTAGCACATATCTTGACCTGACGCAGCATCAGTTGTTTTTGACCCACCGGGGTTTTCGCCGCACCAGGAGGGACGTTCCTCATAGTATAGTGCCGCGGAAGAGAATTCGCCAAGGACAAATTACGATTCTTGGTAACTCGAGGAGAGCACCTCAGGTCACAGTTTTTTTCGGATCGAGGTCACGTTCTAGAGCTAATGTCAGGGATCGTGGCCTTCGTGGCGGTCTTTTTTAGGAAGTTCGTGTCGAAATGGAGCTTCTTGGACTGCGTTATGATTGGTCGAGCGTAAGTGACACATTACATAATGTCGCACGCGTAAGTGTGGCAGTACGCTGGAGTGCAGCATAGAGAGAACCCCAAGCAAGTCTAGCGCGTCCCGACCAACTTCATCTTCAGGATCGTTCAGCACTCCAACAGACGCTTTAAACGTCGCGTAAACATGCCGATATCTCGACAGCTGCTGCTTAGGATGGTACTTCAGCAGCCGCTCGCGCAGCCGCTTGTACTTCTCCGCATACTGGTCTAGCCGACAATACCCTTCTGCAATGTACGCCCCCACCTAGATCAGCGCAAGCGTGTGTGACCCTAGTAGCCGCACGACAGCCTGCGCCTGCTCTGTGCAAGCCTGCCAAGCCTCTTCTGGCACGCGGGCGGCTTTGAGCAGAAGCTGCGTCGAGTCCTCTTCTTCTAGGTCCTCTAGCGCCTCGGCAGGCAGCGTGCTGTACTGGCTGCATTTAAGCATACGCGATGTCATGATCACCGCACCTTGCGCACCAGACGGGGCGTATGCTGCGTAGTCGAATGCTGGATCATCGGCGTTATCTAAGACTAGCAGCCAGCGCTCCTTTGTGTTTGCGAGCGCCTAAGGCGACTTGTCGACGCTCTCCGCAGACGATCCGAGCGTCTTTGCGGTGGCTAAAAAGTTATTCTTAGCTGTTAACAGGCTGGCGACGTCGACCCAAAACACGCCCCAGAAGCTGTAGATTGTCAGCAAACGCACGCATATATAGTATAGTAAAGCTTTGCGGCCGCGATACTTCCAGTCTCCCCCAGTACTCGGCTGTCGTTCACGCATCTCTGATCCCCATTTGCCCAAGAATCTGCGTCTGCTCTATGAACTCAATAGCTTTAGTTGCTAGCTGTGGCTTGTTCAGGACGGCCCGGAGGTTGTATCGTCCAGAGAGGTTTTCGAATACCTGGTTGCAGAGGTTCTTGTAGATCCTGCATCAGAGCAGGATATGAGCGGTAGTCTGTCTTCTCTCTCCGCACTCGCATCGTGCGCTGACGACCTCTGGCACTCTAGTCGTTGCCATTTGTGACTTCCCAGCTAATGTTAGTGTCTGCGCCATGCGAAACTGATTGTCGCGATAATAGCCTAATTGTCAGCAAACTACCAGACTCTGCTCCGCACCACTTAGTGCTGCATGTCGGCACAGATAGCGAAGTCATTATGCCATCTCCAAACACCTGTCGCAATGCTGCTGCTGTTTTTGTCGGTGTCGCAAGGTACTCTTAGTTGTGTTCTAGAAAAAGGCCGGGAGGCCAGCACTATCGGTCAAAGCATCGAATGTGCCTAGGCAAAATTACCAACCGCTAACTAGCCCCACCACTTCGTGCGCGCGCGGCCTCACCAAAGCTACCTCAAAAACGAGGCTGTAGGGCCACACCAAAAGGTTGTTATCGCGATGTATTTTAGAGGTGAGGTTAATAGGCCTTGTTATATATATATAGCTATAGAAATCGAGTTGGAGTTCTGATCGCGCGGCCGCGACGCGAGGTTGGAGGTGGTGAGCCTCTAGCACCTCCCTGAGGCTCCTCACCACCTTGAGGCCTCGCGATAGTCCTCTTTTTTCGAGTAGTCTTTGTAGGAGCCTTAAGGCTGCTCCTTTTACCCCTTTGAGTAGTTTTGATAGTTTTTTGAAGTCGTTTTGCAGCCTTGCGAGCCGCGATCCTTGAGGCCTTTTCACTAGCCTTCTCCTCCCTCTCCTTCTGCCTCATTAGGCTCACTGCAAGCCTCGCCTGACGCCTCTGCTCCTTCTCTCTCGCCCTCACCTGCCTTGTCTCCTCACGTTGCCTCCTCGTATCAGCTTTTTGGAGTTGCAGCAACAGCTCCTCCTCCTCCTGGAGTTGCAGGCGATCGCGCGCCTCCTTCACCTTCCTTGGAGACCAGAATACAGCTCCACCGTGATACTCCTCAGCCTCCTGCAGAGGTAGAGGCTTACCTCGTTTCCTGCGCGTCCTCTCATTGATCAGGGCCTCCCTCAGTTTCCTTATCTCCTCCTTGAGGAGACTATTTTGAACAGAACTTGAGTGAATGACCTGGCTGAGCCTTTTGACCTGCCTATCGCCCTGATCAGCGACTACCTGACGCAGCAGACGCTCTATCTTCCTCCAATCAGAGGCACTAAGAGCTGAGGAGTCGCTGTCAGACGTAGGATCAGGTGTAGTAAAACGCCGCAGGATAACTTCTGGATCGAAAGGCGAGATCCCTGTAGCCTTAAAGGCGTTTAGGATAGTTGTTTCCTTAAAGGAGGCCTGCCAGGCTGTATAGAAGAGAGGGAAGAAGTCCCTTTTACTCATTGACGTCAGCCCTTGACTCCTATCCATAAAGGCAGAAACCTCGTTTAAGTACGCTGTTGAGAGAGGCTTAAACATGCTGACGTCGAGAGGCTGCAGCGTGTGGGTTGAGTGAGGAGGATAGACTGCGAGGAGGATCTTATTTTGATCACAATAATTAATAAAATCCATTGTAAGGTGAGATCCATGGCCATCAAGGATAAGTAGTCGGTAGGAGGAGCGTGCCTTTGCCTTTGTACTGCGATCAAACACCTGTTGCAGCCACGCGAGTCCTATCTCATTGTTCGTCCAGCCAGAAGGAGAGGAGGATAATCGTATTTGGTGTATATCAGGATCAAGGGCCTGCAGCCAGGTGTCCTGTATCGATCCTGAGGCTGACTGATATATTAGGGCAGGCTCAAGGTGAGATCCGTCAGCGCAGATACACGCTAGGAGCGTTACCCACTGCCGTAAGCCATCCTGTATAGTACTCCTCCCTTTTATACCTTTGTACGAGGCCTTACTAAAGATCCTCCTTGATCGACTAACGATACCTAGCATGAAGCCCTTCTCATCCATATTGTAGATATAACGCGCCTCAACCTGATACTGTCTGATCTTATCGCCTAGGAGGCTGAAGTAGAGGCTATACTTGCTCCTTGAATCTGCTTTGTGGCGACAGTTATCAAGGCCTGCTGCCCACCTTAAAATAAGCTGATCAGGATAGCGCTGGACGAAGCGACTAACCCAGTGTACTCCAACCTCAGTCTTGGCGATCTGTGAGGCAAAGTTGCGTATCATTGACTGAGTAGGTGGTAAGCCTCTGTCTGTCAGTCGATTGATATAGGCGATTAGAGCCTGCTCCTGCTGTGGGTGGAGGAGCTGTCGTTTTTGGCAGCCTGTTGTAGGAGAGGCGCAGCGACCTTGGTGTCTCCGGGTAAGCGTAGATCGAACAACACCATATCTTTTTGCAATTTCAGTATACGTAAAAGACTCCCCGGGTCCTAAGGCATCGATAGCTGCAAGCGCAGCCTCGATATTACTCATGGTGGTGGAGATATGAGGTGTTGAGGTAGGGGTGGTTGCAGGGCCGCGCGCGCACGAAGTGGTCGCGCGCACGAAGTGGTGGGGCTAGTTACGTAATGTCATGATGTGCATGTCCGCTATCTTCTCACATTCGTGTCCGTAACCACCCGCGCATGCAACATGCTGCTCATTTCTGTCCTCGAATGTCTTCGTGCCGGTCGGGCGACGCCAGCTGTGCAAAGTAACCATTTTCCTTCTCTACCCTTTGCGAAGATAGGAATGCTGGGAAAGTGAAATCAAGGTCGCAGACTTACAGCCCTCATGGACATTCCGTCTTGTGCTCAGCCAACTTTTGTAGCCTTGACGCTGACCCACCAAGCTTGCTCCAGCTAGACAGGCCAGACTTACTTGCGTTTGAGGGTCCGTGGAGCAGGTGCAACTGAATAACACTTCTAACAGTCATTCGCCATAATGAATTCTAGACCGCTCCACGATCGGGACAAGGGCTATGTCCCTCCGCGGAGCAGAAATTCTCACATGTCTATCGTTCGACTTCGGCAGCTGGTCTTTGGTGTATAGTATCTGGGTTAGGTTTGTTTGCATTGCGTGAGGTCCAAAGCCCTAAAGGGAGTTTTGAAGTATTAATGGTGGCGAATGAGGGGTCGTGCCTTACACATAAATGCGCTGGCCGCAAGGTCCTGTCAGGACTTAGATAGGTCTTCTCACTCAAGAATTTTCTGTAACTCTCCAGCCATTTCACGATTATTTCTTCAGCCATCGGCGCTTATCTAAGAAACTTGTGCACTTTTATCTTGAGTTAACTAGCTCAAGGCTGGTTAATAACCCTCATTCACGAAGGCTACACCAATCAACCTAAGTGCTGTTAGCAGCATTAATTATATCTTTCATGGATAATTACCAAGCACAATCTCATCCTATGGTAGCAAACGAGCACCAGATGTCTGCTGCTAGTGGCTGCCCATGGCAAGAGGGTTTTGACAGGTCTTGTCTTGTCGATGGATACACGATCAGCCCCGACTGGAGCTTGGATACGCTCTTCGATTTCGACTCCTCCGACCATCCCGTTAACTTCGTTGAGTCGCCCACGTTCCCGAAATCCTCGACCTGGCTACCCTTTGAAGCACCAACTACTGTTGGAACTATTAACACGAATGCTTCGTTAATCGCCCTGCAATCTGTGCCGATCGGATATATCAGCGACGTTGACTTCGATAAGAACAGCAGCGGGAACGCTCTTCCTACTGTTGCGCCCACCTCTATGTCTTCTCATCAAGCTTCTTCGCCCACGTCCGAGAGAAGTAGCGAGGGATTTTCCATCAAGAGGTCATTTTCTTCATCTCCCGCTCATCGTTCCACAAAATGCGAGTTACTAGACTCTATCCCTAAAGACGATGAGTTTGCTCAGAAACAGGCGCAGCGCAAGCGTGGTCGCCCACGTCTCGACCGCGGCGCTCTAACTGCGACAGAGCGCACTGCTACGTCAAGGAATGCGCGATGCCAGCGTCTGCCACATAATCAGGTCGAACGGAAATACCGCGAAGGTCTCAATGCCGAGCTCGAGAAACTCAGAAGGGCAGTCCCGACTCTAACCCAGCACAATCCAACCGACATGACTACCCTACCGAGGCCCAGTAAGGCTACCGTTCTAGCTTGCGCCGTTGAATATATTAAGAAGGTCGAGATCGAGCGAGATTTTTTAAGAGTCGAGAATGAGACGTTGCGAGGTTTGAGGCCTAGTATAGCCGAGGTCTAATAATATATGGGAAGAAAGAGAGAGTATAGGCTATTTTTTAGCATCTTCTATCCTTAACTCCATTCATCAAGCATAATTTTAGCGGGTGCTAGTTCGTGTTGGTATAGAAAACTCGTCTTCCTCGTTCGTAGATGATATCAATGCCTTATAGGGTACATATTAGTTACGATCAATAATAGGGAGTCTTAATGAATACGCGCACGCTCATTTAACGCCACGGCATCTTGCGCTTGCCGTCTTCAAGACTTTACACAGGCGATAGTGTGAAAGCATGCTCCTAGCTATAAGTAACCTCGCTTGCAAAGTGGAGAATGGTGCCCTAAGCAAACTAGTCCATATTTTGAGTATCTGTCGATTTTGAGGTAAGTATCCGTGAGGTAAAAATGAGAATGTTACAGCGGTCGTCTCCTCTCGGCGCAGAGTGTATACGGTTCAAGCAATACTCTAGTGGTATCTAATAACATTATAGAGCGTGGCTATAGCGTTAATCCTAACCAAACATTGTAAGTAACGCTTTTTCTAGTGGAGCAGGGGAAATTGAACTAGAATCTTTCTAATGTCATCTTACTTCGATAGGGGACGATAAAAAGTCGGTATTGTTAGCCTTGTGAATGGTCCAGTTATATAGTCTACTAGTGGTTTCGATAGCTCGTCTGGATAGTGTCCGCTCTTCAATCAATCAGTTAACATCCTTATGTTTATAAATTTTTAGACTTTATATAGCCTTTGGGTACTTATATAAGTCTTCTTAACGGTGAGTCTATATATCTTAGACTTATAAGCGAACGCACGTATATAGTAACCTAGATAGAGTTATTAGTAGTTGAGTGAATATATATACACGGGTTAGCTGAGAAAATTTGCCTTCGGTTCGTGTCGGTTTCGCGGTAAAAGGGCAAAAACTTGTCCTAGATGGGCCCACGTGGCCCGGTGCTTAGGGCCCTGAGGTGACGCTAGTAGATCTATGTGGAACGAAGAAGTAAGGGTTTAGGAAAGAGTAATGTTGTTCCAGCGGAGATGTAAGAAGTAAGAAAGTAATATTCTCAAGATGTAGGAGCCCTTACAAGTTCAGACACTGTTGATGGGGTGACACATCAGTTGATACTTTGGTTTAGGGAAGTGGTGCGGTGGCGTAAGATGACTATGGCCTTAAAATCACGCCACACTCGTTCGTTGTAAAATTCAATCAAATCTAAGCTTAAGGATACGGATCCTGCCATTTCTTTATTAAACTAGATCTGGAACTCACTTTCTAACAAAACTTATCGCAACAGTTTTTTGCCCGTCGTAAATGTGAGGCTCCTATACCTTTCTGTTAGTAACTTGAAGAACTTAAGAAGCATAATTTATACTACACTCTATTTTATATCTAAATAAGTGCTGCTGTGTTGTTTTACTAGACTTGAATGTGTTTGTGTTCTATTACTGTTCTTCACCTACGCCTTGAACCTATATATTATGTAGAATTGAAACTCAAGGTACTTACTCAAGTATTAAAGTTTGCACGTGCGCTACTAAGCCTAACCTCACAAGTGTCGTATTTCTACCTAAACGGAATTAAAGCTGAAATTACCTAACCGATATGAGGCGATGAACTAAGCCTATTGTATGATGTGCCGTGATATTGACCCTGATTCTTCCTAGTCAGGTAATTGCGCACCCTCACTAAGAGGGTTTGATGGCAGAAATGTAATGGGCTAAACGCCCTTCGACTTTTCTCCTCGTCTACGACTTCGTTTTACCTGCCTGCCTGCTTACCCGGCCCGATTATTACTAAGGCAACTATCTACTTCCTGTTTGTATATATAACTGAGTAGTTGAGAGCTTTGCTCTCTATCGAATACAATCTTGTTAACTGGCTATGTCTACTTGAAGCTCACAAGCGTTAGAGTGATCCACAGAGTTGCGCCCCTTACAGGAGGTCTATGATGTGCCAAGTTTAGGAAAGCACTATTTAGCTCATGCTAAGCTACCTATTAAAAGATGCATGTTACGTGCTGCAGGGGTCTGCTGTACCGAGCAATATCCGAGCGATGCGCAGGGCTGCATAGGCGGAGATTACATACAGTGAGTTGCAAAACCGCCCTCACCCTTTGTGCAAGCGAGGTGAGGGCGGTTTTGCAACTTACTGTAACAGTACCACTGCAGCCGCTTTCGTCGCTAACGCAGGTTGCTTGTACCTCCCTGTGTAGTGGAGATCAGTTATGCAGCACGCATATAACCAGAGGAAGCTTTAATCCTAGATATATAGTAATAGTATAGACTTAGCAGGTATCAAGCTATATTTTAGCAAGTACAAGGCTAAGTTGGCGTTGTTGTGGTAGAAGTCGTGTTGCGTAACTGATGCAGATCAAGCGCAACCTAAGTAACGCAGCAATGACTCTAGTGTAACTTTTAGATGTAGACTATGAATGCGTAGAGAATGACTTGCATATAATACTGCAAAGTTTCTAGGTATGAGCAAGCTGTAGAGAGAGAGTAAGTGTGTGCAAAGTCAAAGTATCTGTCGTTCTTATCGCGACGCAGGGGTCTTTCGTTTCGTCGGGGGGGGGGGGGGTGTTTACCCTAGTACAGAACTAATTCTTTTCGCTCATGCGAGTACCAGCTAGATTAATACTAACTAGCTAGACGAACAGGGTAGGTACCACTAAAACTCTATCCTTTGAACAGCCACATGTTTTTACCGCATTGCCACACAGTAACTATCCCGAAAGTTCGGCGCAGAACATATAACAACGCCTCTAACTAGCGTGTCTCTAGCCAAAATGATGCACGAATTGATACGTAGCCCCTGACTAGAGTTTTCCCTTACAACCTTTCTTCTTCTACGATTGCACTATTTAAAGATTACTTTCGTCTGCCAATCTCCAGGCAAATGAGTGGCGCAGTCTTCTTGTCCAATCACCTATTGGCAGAATAATTCGACGCCGTATCCGATTGATATAGAAAGGGAGATGACATAATAGCTGTGTAAAAGTACATGCCTGGCAGATGTTAGATGACGAGATGAAGCTTAACTGAGACTAACCATAAAAACGCCTTGCCGTAGTTTGGTGGAAGTGCTTCTATCGGCAAGTGAGAAACTAGAGATGAAGAGCGCGCCACAAAACTGGCTAGATGCTGCAGCAGCATTCGTAAAGATGAATGTATGCAATAATCGCATATATTCTTTGTCTCTGTGCTCAGATCCTGAATTCTTGTGAATCCCTAATTGCTTGTGTGAGAGTGCAGAAGAGAAAAGCGATGCAGCAGCGAAACGAGTTAGTAGTGCCGACTCGTAAGCAGAAGATACTATTTTGCCTCTACTTGCAATTAGACAACTTCGGCTGTAAATCCAGTTCACTTACGTAACAGCGGAAGCGATGTCCAGTATAGTCAAGACCGTTACCAAATGTACTGCCCAAATGATCCATGGAGGAGAGATGAAAATCTGAAGCGTTCGGGCGAGCTGAAGTTCCTATTAGTCGGAGACGAGCTATCGAGGTAGGCAGACTATCTCACGTTATTGCTAGCAAGAAGTTGTAGATTACACATAATGACTGCGTCAAGCCAGGAGTACGTCTCTGCCGGATGGGGTTCTGTCGCGATTGCAACGAGTCCGGTAATCCCTAGGCCTATCGAAAAGATATCGAAGACGATTCTCGCAATCTTCTCCCAGCGATAGTTGTACTCGGAAATTCGGGCTTCCGCTCTGAATAGGCTGCTGGTATCGATGTAAGTGAGCGTGCTGCTTAGTATGGGGCCGACTGAAAAACAGATAGCAAGGCTGACTAATACGAAGGGTGCCATGATGACCAAAATGATGCAGTACTAAATATGGGGGGCTCACGCCTTTTGTATCTGCTCTGCGTGGTGAATAATCCCGTATAGTGGAGCTGAAGCAGAGTACCACAATGACAGAGCAAATCCTGACAGTTGCAGGCATAGTCATGGAAAATTCCATAGCCTTGCAGTGTTCGGCCTTTTTAGCCACGGAGATAGGGCCTAGAAGTAGTAGTGATAGCTGCACTTGCCTATATCATCAAGAGTATGCATCAACGTGATACCGTACCCATAACCATCTTTCAGGCCTCAGCAGACTAATTGATGGTATACTATCCATCTTAGCCAGCCCGTCGGTTTAGGTCGCAATCGCTTGCGTAATGTTTAGAAAGGGAAAATGTCAGGCACACGTAAGCAAGAAGATGAGATAGATAAAAATCGTCTTCCTAGAAAGTGGCTATAGGAGGTAATTCATATCGACCGTCTAGATCTTGCAGTTCGGCTGAAACACTGAAGTTAGGAAATAAAATCGATCTCTACGTATATGTGTGTAGGGACTGGACCCCGATTTCTGTTTGTATCGTAGCAGTGGCTGACTCGATCACTTAACTAATGATCTTGGGAGCTGGCTTTCGGAGAGAGTATATAGGCTGACTTTCAGGCTGCCCTCACCAAATTGTTGTATCTACCTTAGGTAATTCTCCCTATAGACACTAGCATTGATAGGAAACTAGTTACGTATTGTTACTCACTTATCTACACTCTTCTCTAGTTCCTTGCCTTGCTGAGCCTCCAAAAACTCCCACACCTCCGTATGCCCTTCCATCCTTGCAACATCTGCAGCAGTATGTCCACCTTGATTCTTGATAAGCACGTTTGCTTTCCATGACACTAGTAGCTGCACCACGTCTAGGTAACCATAGCTCGCAGCCCATATCAAGGCTGTACGCCCATAGCCGTCTTGGCGGTCGATTTGGACACGCCGGCTCGAAAGAAGCACCTCCACAGTCGTTGGGGACCGATCAAAGAGCGCCCACAGCAACGGTGTCCAATTGTCGATGTCAACGTCGTCCTCACCCCCACACTTATGCTTAAGCAAAATGCGCAAAGTGTCAGTATGCCCCCCTTGACAAGCCCAGGAGATCGCATTGCGTAGGTCCTTATCATTTGCGGCTTTGTCAACCCCCATTTTGTGCACCAAAGTACTGACTACTTCTCTTTGACCATTCCTTGCAGCCCAAAGCAGTGGAGAGAGCCCTTTGATATCCCTTAGATTCAGGTCTACAGAGGGGTGCCGAAGTAAGACCTTCAAAGCTCGTCTCGCGCCTTCTCCTGCAGCCCAGGATAGTACTGAGCGTCCATGCTTGTCGACTTCGTTGATATCAATACACGGTTGCCTGAGTAAAAGTTGCACAACATTCGCATGGTCTCCTATCACAGCCCAGAAAAGTGGAGTCCAACTTGCGTTGTCCTGATCGTTTAGCATGAGAGCTCCATGTTCCAGCAGGGCTTCTACAATCTCCAGATGTCCGTTTCCCGCTGCAAACGATAGTGCCGACCTTCCAGATTTGCCTTTGAGAGTAACATCCGTGAATGGCTCGTTTAGAAGTATCTGAACAGCATCTAGATGGCCGTACTGCGCCGATATAGTCAATGGCGTTTGCCGGTCAGTACCGATTCCATTGGGGTTTGCACCGTGCTGAAGCAATACTCTCATGCAATTTAGAGAAGACCTCCTCGCTGCCCAGAATAGAGCCTGGACTTTTCTTGCATCGCTGTCAAACTCTGCCTTCTCTACAACCTCAGCAAGCAGTACGGGCAAGTTAAAAAATGCGGCTACTTCAATAGCCTCGAACACATCTGGAAACGAGTATTCCATATTGTTTTTGAACCAGTAGTATTTCAACCAGTTTGTTAGAACGTAGCCAGAACTCTTCGTCAATTCCTTGACGGCATCCTGGACAGACTTTGGGGCGATGTCTTCGCATAGAGAGTAGTGCTCTGCCCAATGGGTGGCAGCATAATCAAAGAACTTGTACTTCTGAGCGGTCAGTGCGCATTGATCCTCATCTAGGTCGCGCGAGTTTTTAAAGAAACTTTCTAGACCAAGTTGATCGTCTAGGCCGAGATCGTCTAGACCAAGATGATGATCTGGAGCTGTTGCGTCGAAGTCGTATGGGAATGAACGATAGGATTCAGGCGAGTTGGTCCCGAGGCTCGTTCCTTCTGGAACAAAAATGTCCAATTGGAATTCCTCCAGAAGTAAGTATCGTATACACGATTGGGATATTTCCAGCGCTGCATTTGGTAAAGAAACCGCAAGACTTTCCACTGTCTTCTCTGTAGAACGATGTGCAAGATCTGTTAGGTACTCTTTAGCGGACTGGTGTACAAGCGAAACTTTTGAGTCCTGATTGGAGCTGTGGTTTATTTCTCTGATGCGAACGAATGATTATTATTATTCCATTATAGTCCTGTATCAGCCGTTGGCTATGTAAGACTTTTGGCCAAAGGCCGTTCTATCTAACTAGTTACAATTTGGTACTTTGTGCTGTGTTGCGTGACTATGGTGCTTCGGCCTTTCTCTAGCTAAGCTATAATTAGCTTTGTAGAT